AGCCCGCAGCGCGTTCGCAATTTGCACATGAATAGTAGTCGATCCCGTTGGCTGGTGCAGCTGAGCTTTTATATTTGCTGATCCGCCTTCCAGACACCTTCTGTTGGTTATGGGTCGGCCGTCTTGGCTTTGTTCCCTGCTGCTTCTGGAAGCTCGCAGACTTTCTTGGGTTGGCTGCTTGCGCAATTTGATTGACACCTGGCCTAACGCCTCCGGTGATCCTGGCTGAAGTTGTGGTGCCTCCTAAAGACAGACTCTTCAACCCATAACTGTTATCTACCAGGGACTTTCTATTGCAATCTACTTAACTAGCTCGCCTAGGCCTCCTGCAATCATAGTACAAACGGAAACTACTCTTCTAGAGTATTCGTGCACATTGTACAAGTGGGCTGGAACCACTAATAGAACACGGAATGGGATTTGGGTCTAGGACCTGGGACTCAGGACTGGGACCTGGGACTCTGGTACATTGTGAAATCCTTCCATCAAAAGACAAAACATAGGGAGGTGTACCTCTCCATGTTTTAGCAGAAGATTCATTTTCATTTTGCACATTGGGTGAGTAGTGGAGCGACGCCCTATGATGTGCTCTCTGATGCGTGTAGGCTGTAAGCTACCACGTTCACCCAAATAGAACGCACCGACATTATCATTGCATCTGGACTACACGTTGACTCAAATACGGTGGCAATGATCCAAGGTTAGGACGACCAGTAGTGTAGAATTAATCGGAGGGTTCTACGGGTCGTGGAGGATGTGCGGTGCAACCTGTCCTGGGTTGGAAGCAGCTGGGCCTGTGTGGTGGGGGGTTTAGGGGTGGCAAAGGAGAAAAATGGGGTCCATAGGTGCCCTAGAGAGGGGGAGTTGGGAAATGGGAAGAGAATTCGGACAGTGGTTAGCGCTTTTGGTCTTTGTGTGTGAGGTTGACCTTTCCCAAGCTTTGAATTCCTCTTTCTTTCATTTTTGTTCCTTTTTGGTTAAGCTGTTGAGTTCTGGTCTCTGGATTGGCGAGCTGCAGAGGTATATCCTCCTGATGAGTAGGTTGAAGTCCGCCGTAACAACTAGGACTACACTGTTTTCCGTTGTGGGCCGTATGCCCTCTCCAGAACTCTCTTGACTCTCACTGTGAATTGAAGTCTCTTTTCGTGGGAGCTGGATGGTGGTTCTCTGGTTCAGGTCTTCGTGCTTGTTAAACCACCAGTACCTTTCCCTGCTTGAAAAATAAATACTTGCCGGTTAACATGGCGTGGTCGTTCTTTGGCCGCCGGTAGCTACCCAACGACCGGGCAAAGCAAAAAAAATTGAAAATCACATGAAGAAAACAAAAGAAAACAAACAATGAAAACTAGCAAAAAACAAAGAAACGGCCGCGGAAGAGAGAGAGAGAGAGAGAGAGCAAAAAACAAAGAAACGGCCGCGGAAGAGAGAGAGAGAGAGAGAGAGAGGAGAGTCTCTCTCTCTCTCTCTCTCTCTCTCTCTCTCTCTCTCTCTCTCTCTCTCTCTCTCTCTCTCTCTCTCCCCGGCTGCGTGATTGGAATGCCCAAAATGGGAATGAATCTTCCCGCGCGCACGGGAAGATTCATTCCCATTCCGGGCATTCCAACTGTGCGGCCCAGAGAGGGAGAGAGAGAGAGGGGCGGCGCGTTCGCCGGGGCGCCCCGCGAAAGCGCCGCCTCTCTCTCTCTCTCTCCCTCTCTCTCTGTGCCGTGCAGTTGGAATGCCCAAAATGGGAATGAATCTTCCCGTGCGCACGGGAAGATTCATTCTAATTTTGCACGTTCGAGGCGTGCCCCCCCCCCCCCCCCCCCCCCCCCCCCCCCCCCCCTCTCTCTCTCTCTCTCTTTCTCTCTCCCCCTTCCTTCCCCCATTTCATCTCGTTGTTGTTTTTTTTTCTTTTTTCTGTTTTAGAATCTCGTTCGTTATTTTTATTTCCGTTTTTGCTTTTATATATATATTTTTTGTTTTTAAAAACGATAACTTGCCCACTACCGGTAGCTCTAGGCTCGGCAATGCTGGGCATACGGGTAGCCCAAGTGTCGGACTGCATAGCTGGGAAAGGTACTGGTGGTTTAAGGGAACCATTTAAATCAAATAATTTTACTTACGGGATGGGTGAGTAACGCTTCAGGGACTCTTGCCCTTTCTCTGCCGTGAGACCAACACCACCTTTTTTCTTTGCCTCCATTGTTTATCCTGTGCAGGGCCTGCCTCTCTCTCTGTAAATCTTTCTTGGCTGTGAATGCCCTTGTGGTTATCACTCCACTCTCGTGAAGCTGTCTTTCGTGAGGCTCCCCGTCTTTTCTCATGCTATCTGTCCTCTGCTGAGCCCTTCCCCTCTCTGTGGCAGTGTGTGAGCCCTTCCCCTCTCTGCTTCAGTGTGGATGCTATTAATGGCCTCTTCCTTGAGTGTGAATATCATCGCCGTTGTCACTCTGATTGGCCTCTTTGGTTGTGAATATTGCCGTTTTGGTCGCTCCTACTTCTGGGACATCATCAGCCCTTTAGGTCCGGTCGCCCCGAGCCCCCGAAAATGTAGGAGTGTGCCTGGGGCCATGTACTGGTGGGTCAAGTGACCTTTAACGGCGTGGTCAGGTCTGCTGTAAGAGTATGTGGGAGCCACTACTACTGCTCCTTTGCAGTGCGCTGTCCTTCTGGGTCGTGATCGATATGTGCACTCCGTCCGAGCTGCTTTTGCCAGCATGGGGAAGATCACCAGCCAGCGTTGTTCGTGTACTGCTGGGGCAACCCTGAGACTATCGCCATCGTGGCATCCTTTTGTGCTGCTCGCTCCCTCTCATTACTGACCCCTTGTAGAACCCCCGCTTACTTTCACTATGTTCAGGGTAGACTCACTCCAGTACTTCCCTGTGTTCATCTGATGGCAATCATCACCAGATTCATCGGGAAAGTCCTGAAGGTGACTGTTTGTTCCTTCGCTCAACATAATAACATGGTCTGTATGCTAGGAGGCGAATGTAGTGGGCAGTTCTGCCTCCACCGAGTGCGTAACTGCAAGTCGCAGAGGAGATAGGGAGAGGTAGGACAGAGGACAGAGTGAGAGGTGATTCTCTAGTAAGATAGTTTGTGCGTACAGTTGCGCTTGAATCTGAGAAGTACTCGTCCTTGCGTAGATGGAGGAGGGGAGAGAAGAAGGTGGAGGAAGAGAAGAGGGGTGCAATGAGAGGACTGTGAGAAAGGGGGGCGGCGGGGCAGAGGAAAGTGGGTGCAATGTGGAGGGTTGCAGATGTTGTCTGGTGTAACTGGAAGGTACTTCAGTTCGAGTCATCAGGACTGTGAGAAAGGGCGGCGGGGCAGAGGAAAGTAGGTGCAATGTGGAGGGTTGCAGATGTTGTCAAGTGTAACTGGAAGGTACTTCAGTTCGAGTCATCACAGGGATGGTATCAGACCAGTGATGGATTGGGTGGGGTGGAGGATGAGGGGAAGGAAAGGTTCAGGTAGGCTGCAGTTTGTGCAATTCAGGTCTCACGTGCTCAACTTACGTACTTGAGGACGGACTGACCGGTGTTCTTTCAGGTGCGTTGACCTTATTCAAGATAGGAGTGTGGTACAGGCGCTGCTGGTTCAGCCGAGCCTGAGTCATTTAAGGATATTAGAGCGAGCGGGGTCCTTTGGTAGGCAGTTGGTATGTGGGACTTCTTTCTCCATTCACGACTTGCGCTGAAGATGCATCGCTCCAGCTGATATCGAGAAAAAGCGGTGGCATCGACACATAGTTTGCTCGGTTTGTCTGTGTAGCGAAACCGGTATGTTGTTTATCCGAGGGTGTGAGCTTCTGAACTTGGCAGCAATTCACCAACTTACGAGGGATTATGATGCTTGCATAGTTGTTGTATCTTGAATGGCATAACGGGGGTTTTGTCTGTGTGCCTGTCTGTGGCCGTTTGGCCGCTTTGGCGGCTATTTCACTTCTCTGTATCATGGGACAAAACCTGCAAAAATGTGTGTGCACCTGTGAATGATAAGAGTTCTAGTTTGGTTTGCAGACTGATCTCAGTTCAAGTCTTGATGGATAAATTCATTGATTACAGTGCGGACTGATCTGTTAAAGTCTTGATGGATGAATTGGTCGGTCGATTAGATTGCCTGATTATGACGCGGGACAAGTCTGTTGCCATGTTTGGCAGATGATGGTTGGCTTCTACTCGTACATGCAAGCGGACGCCGTGTGGAAAATTCCGTACGTTTGGCGCACGAGCTGACCCGCACGATGCAGTGCACGGGGGAATATTCACTCAGAAAAAAAAAAAGGGGTCGCATGGCTGGGTCAATGGTCACCTGTGTCCCCGTTAAAGGTTTGTTGTGGGATGGGGGGGGGCTGTCTCTTATACACATCTAGATGTGTATAAGAGACAGGCTGTGTGCAAGTGGGTCGATATGACACACGGGGGTGGGGGGGGGGCAGCCGCCGCTCAACCTACATCCACGTGGGCGGCCTTGTACGCAAGAGNGAGAACCTAGTGGGAGGGTAATGCCGCTACCCTGAAAGTCAAGACTGATGTCCCAGACACCTTTTTGAGGCTATTTCTCTCTCATGCCCAATTGGACGGAAAGAAAAACCTGTACGCCTGTACTTGAAAACACCTTTTTGAGGCCGGAAAGAAAAATCTGTACTGTACTTGAAGAAGGCCGGTTCCTTACCGCATGCCGTGCAGCGCACTGCACGGTACGGCGCATGGTGCGGTTGCAAGTACGCATTCTAGTCGAATGCTCCTAATTGAACAATCTTTGATTGTCAACAGGGCAGTGAAACGGCAATGAGGTTAAATTTATCTGCTTCCATTGCAAAGAGCGAGTCTGGATAGGTGCAGCAGGTCCTTTTTTTTTTTGTAAACCTCTGGTGTGAGCGTAGAATTTTGTCCTGGTTTAATCGTGTTCTATATATCGCGTGTACACTTATGTGTGGAGTGTGGCATGCCTGTATTTCTGCTTGCTGCTGAGTTTTGTGTGTCATCAATGGCTTATTCTGTGTGTGAGGGCAGAACCGCATACAACATGGTTCTCTTCAAATACGGGGACAAGCTGTACTCGGGTCTGGTGCAGACAATGACGAATCATCTGCGTGATATTGCAAGGACGATTGAGGCGGCCCAAGGAAGTATGTTTTTGGTGGAGTTGAACAACCAGTGGATGGAGCACGGCAGATCGTTACAGATGATACGAGACATTCTTATGTACATGGACAGGACGTATGTGAACAAGAACAATAAGGTGAAGGTTCATGACCTTGGGTTAAAGCTCTGGCAGGAGCAGGTCATCCTGGCGCCGAAGATAAGAGATCAACTGAGGGAAACACTGCTAGACATGGTGCACAAGGAGCGGACGGGCGAAATCATTAATCGAGGACTTCTGAGGAATATCACACAGATGCTGATGGATCTGGGGGAGAAGGTGTATCAGGAGGAGTTTGAGAGGCCGTTCCTGGATGCGGCTACGGATTTCTATCGGATAGAGTCGCAGCAGTACATTGCCACGTGCGACTGCGGCGACTACTTAAAGAAAGCGGAGAAACGGCTCAACGAGGAGATAGAAAGGGTTTCCCATTACCTGGACCAGAAGACTGAGGCAAAGATCACAGATGTTGTGGAACGGCAAATGATCGGCAATCATATGAAACATTTGGTGGAGATGGAGAACTCCGGCCTCGTGCAGATGCTAGTGGATGACCGATACGAGGATTTGGCAAGGATTTTCCAGCTCTTCAAGAGGCTGTCGAATGGTCTACCAACAATACGGGAGCTAATGACCACTCACGTGCGCGAAACAGGGCGGCAGCTGGTTGTGGACCCGGAGCGGTCAAAAGACCCTGTTGAGTTTGTGCAGCGTCTGCTTGACGAGAAGGAGAAGTATGACAAGATCATCAGCCGGTCTTTCAATAACGACAAAGGGTTTCATAATGCGCTCAATTCGTCCTTTGAGTACTTCATTAACTTGAATCCGCGCTCACCTGAGTTCATCTCCCTGTTCGTGGATGACAAGCTGCGCAAGGGGTTGAAAGGTGTGAGCGAAGAGGATGTCGAGATCGTTCTGGACAAGGTCATGATGCTGTTCCGTTATTTACAAGAGAAGGATGTGTTCGAGAAGTATTATAAGCAGCATTTGGCGAAGAGGCTGCTTTCGGGGCGAACTGTCTCTGACGACGCGGAACGCAGTTTGATTGTCAAGCTGAAGACGGAGTGTGGATACCAGTTTACGTCGAAGCTGGAGGGGATGTTTACGGACATGAAGACCTCCAAGGACACAATGCAAGGGTTCCAGACGTACCTGGCACAGACAGAAGGCAGCACCAACGCAGAAGGAACGACGCTCTCGGTGCAAGTTCTGACGACAGGTTCGTGGCCAACTCAAGCAGGCGCGAGGTGCAATCTGCCGGCAGAAATTCTCACGCTGTGTAATAAGTTCAAGCAGTACTACCTGTCAACGCACACGGGAAGGCGGCTGACATGGCAAACGAATATGGGCTCCGCAGACTTGAAGGCAACCTTCGCCTCGGGCGAAAAACACGAGCTCAATGTCTCGACCTATCAAATGTGCATTCTGCTGCTTTTCAACGACTCAGACCGGTTATCGTGTAGAGAGATTGCACAAGCGACGGACATTCCATCACAGGATCTGAAGAGGAATCTCCAATCGCTTGCATGTGTGAAGGGCAAGAACGTTCTGCGGAAAGAACCGATGAGCAAAGACATTGGTCCCGACGATGTGTTCTTTTTCAATGACAAGTTCACTAGCAAGTTTTACAAGGTGAAGATTGGAACTGTAGCAGCGCAGAAGGAGAGCGAGCCGGAGAAGCTTGAGACTCGACAAAAGGTGGAAGAAGATAGAAAGCCGCAGATCGAAGCGGCAATTGTCAGAATCATGAAGTCGAGGCGTGTTCTCGACCATAACAACATCATTAGTGAGGTCACGAAACAGCTGCAGTCAAGATTCTTGCCTAATCCTGCTGTAATTAAAAAGCGGATTGAGAGTTTGATCGAGAGGGAGTTTCTGGAGAGAGACCGTAATGACAGAAAGCTGTACCGTTACCTTGCGTGAACGTCCATGGAACACTTGGGCATGTTCTTCTTCAGAGCATTGCCAGTTTCTCCAAGTCAGCAGTGCCGGCAGCAAAGGATAAGCGACAAGCTCATGAAAGCAACAGGATAACGGGGGCCACACTACGACTTGCATGACTGGGAGAGTTTCTCTTCTTGATGCTCTGGAAGGGACAGAGGGGTAGCGAAGCTGGAGATGAAGATGGTGTTGACAATCACATTCCTCTTGCAATGGCAGTGGGGTGTTCTTCTACCTTTTTAAAACATTCTCTCTCTCCCCCCTCTCTCTCTCTCTCTGTGTTTCTTTCTCTCTTACTCCCCTCTGGCTCTCCCCCCCCCCAAAAAAAAAACTTCTTTATCTCTGTGTCTGCTTCTCTGCTGCCAAGAGCCAGGATCGGAGTTGTGGTGGTGAATTGGATGGGTGTACAGGGTTCTTCGGCAGAAGCAAGAGAGAGCAGAGGATGACATGAAAACCTTCAATGATGGTACCCTCAGCTCTGAGGTCTTTGACCAGCTCCACTGCACCTAATTTGGTTTGATTGTGTGTGCGTGATGAAGGGATGTGAGTGATGGTGGGTGCGGGTCATGGATGGAGGCAGGTGTCGGAATGCGGGCGAGCACTTCTGATCGTGAGAACATCTGTTCTAGCTTTTTGACTCAGGTGGTGTCATGGCATACATGTTGGGAAGGAGGACCTTGGCAGAAGTGAAGTTGAGTTGCAGTTGCCGGCACGGAGTGGAGGTGGGTGTGGGAAAAAGTGGGCTGCGATGCGTGATCATGGAGAGCGCCAGTGAGACCTGAGAACACACACGTTCAGCATTATGGATGGAGGCAGGAAGTTGGAAGAAATGGACAGAGACAAAGATGAGTTGCGATTGCCGGCACGGGATGTGATGACTTCACCTACTCAGCACGTTCTTAATGGTTTTGGCCTCCGTAAGTTAGCAAGAGGAGGTGGCCGTGTTGAAAGCTCTGCTGTGCACGTGACCCTGTCTGCTGCATATGCGCGTGCATGCAAGGTAGGTATGATGCAGGGTATGCTTTTCATTTCTGGAAAGATTCGTCGTGAACGAGGTGAAAGGCGACCGGTCCTCGATGAGGGAGAAGTGAACTGTGCTAAAAGTGTGAGCGACAATGGAGGTGGTCAGGTGGGAACCATGCATGTGGAAATTGGTGGTTCTGGTAGACTGACCCGTAGATGGGCAAATGGGGGGATGAACGAGCAAGTGGAATCGGTGTGTAGAAGATGTGCCTGGAGCACACAAGTGCCTGTGCATCAATGCAAGGAAGGGGGTTAATCGTGTTTGGTAGTTGACGCAACGTGCAAGAGTTTTCTATGCTTAGGTTTCGGTTCGCGCTGAGAAGAGGAGGATGGTTGGAGGCGGGGGAAGGTTGTGTTCCCCCCTCCCTGTTGGGTGTTCCTTCAGCCAGCTGGACGGTGCAGTTCGCAAGACCACTTTGTTTATACACTGACGGTGGTATTGCCGAGGTACGAAATCGCATCTTCGATACCCGTCTATTGTGCTGTCTGGTGTAGTGAGCAGTCTCTCCCAGCTCAGTGTCGTCTTTAACACGTTGCGCTTGGTTTCTGCGATGCTCGTGTGAATGTGTTCTGTTCCTCTGTGACTCCGTTGTAATAGTAAAACAATGTCTGTCTGGTGCCTGTTCATGTTGATGACTATGAATCTTATGATGGTTTGTGGTCTCCCAATTACTCCTGTGGATTAGTAGAGATGCCTATGTGGAGGGATCTGTGGAGTCGTTTCCTGGCATTCGTTGTTTGTCAACGAGCTGTCAAGTAGAAGCACTTTGGCAAGAGTGGGCTGCTTCCTGGGCGATCATCTATATGTTTATTTGTTCGTTGTATGTGGGAAAAAAGTAGAGTTTCTTCGCAGTGGGGGAAGGTGTTGCCCAGCCACCAGAGATTGATGTCTCAAATTGTTGGTTCTGTTGTTTGGGAGGCATCGGAGTTTCCGTGATTGAAATCAGGAGGGATTTGTGAACTAATATGAAGGGGGGATTGGTGTTGGCCTTCAACTGTCTTTCCCCTATGTGTGTAGGTGTGTGCGCAGATGGGGTGCCGTACTCAGGTTAAGGGAAGAGGCAAGTGCATATGCGTTGCGCATGCGGAACGCATGCGGGGAGACAGGTGTATGCCTGCTGGTTTGATTCACACTGAGTGCGACGGGAGTAGCGAGGTAGAGAGCTGCAGTAGGGAGGGCGCGGAAGAAGGAGAGGAAGGTAGGCTTGCATCCAACAAGCTAGGTGGTTTGAAATGCTAGTTAGCGCGACTGACAACTGTAATCTGTTCAGTATTCCAACTTTGAATTTTCTCCAGTCTCTGCACGATGGTCGTTTTTAGCGCATCCAAATTGCATTTTGTGGGCTTCATTTGCTGGTCCATCTTCCTCCTCCCGTCGCCACTTTTTCTTAGTTGTGAATAGGGCGTACTCACACTAGCTGTATCGGAAATGCATCTGACAGCATTTATGGGCGGGACCTGGATGTGTCTGACTGCAATCGAGTCCATAAGTAAAAATGTCCCTAGTGTGAGTATGCTCTCATTCCATTTGCAATCTTCTGGAGGGGAAGGCTGGGTGGCTTTTCATTTTTCATACCTTTTTTTTTTTTTTTTTTTTTTTTTTTTTTTTTTTTTTTTTTTTTTTTTTTTTTTTTTACTTGGTTCTGTTGAGGGAATATTCTGTTATTCTGTGATTGTGCTTTCTCCGAGACTTGGCATCAAGTTGCATGCATTAAGGAAAAAAAGGAAACCCAAAAGCGAAGTGAGTGCGTAATGAGGGTGTGGCCGGTGGGGCTGCAATGAGGAAGGGACTGTCTCCTGTCCTCTCTTCTCCTTCGAGACGAGGCTGTCACTGTGCTATAGCAGTGCCATGCCAGCATGAACTTGGTCTGTCTTTAGCTGAAATTATATCCCAGCTTGGCCAACCCTTGACATCTCTTTTCGTCTCCCAATTTTTTACTCGTTTGTGCTCCCTTGCGACCCGCAACTTGTGAAATTTTCTATATATATATATCTTATTTCTTCTTCTACTTCACATGCTTACGCTCTTAGTCAATAGTTCTGTGACAATATATATAGCTTCCTGCTACGTTTTTTTCCGGTCAGGTCGAGCGGCAGTGGTCGGGGCCGTTACTAGGCGGCCATGCTGTGCCTCTAGTGCCAGCGGCGTGTCTGGAGTGTATTTTTTGGCTGTGACAGACCTTTCTTTGTTTCGTGGATGTTTTGCTGGCTTGTGATGGGGTGTGAACCGACAGTCTGTAGAGTTTTCCATCTGGTGTGGGTGAGTGATAGTCTACTTTGATTTTGGTTAAGGTAGATTATCATTTACAGTGTAATCAGTGAGGGGATTCTGCAGACTGTTGAGGGTTCAGCCTCCTGATGAGTCGGTGAAACTCCGACGAAACAGTTTGTCACAGCCCCTCGTTTGTTGTCCTCTTCTCTCTCTCTGCCTACGGTTTACCGGGCAGTTCTGTTTGTGACGATATATATATATATATATATATATATATGAAAACAGGTCCATCTCAAAGCTGTCTCATGGGGTGCCCTTCAAGGAGGATGTTTCTGAAAAATGGGTGCCGTTCAAGGAGGGTATTCCCGAAAGTTGTCTCATTGGGTGCCCTTCAAAGAGGGTTCTTTAGAAAATGCGCACTGTCGACTCATTGTTGAACACTGAGAGCAGTGTACAAGGGTGTGGTAGGAAGAGGGAATGGAGCAGGGGTATGTACGTATTTTGGTTTCATGTGTATGCTCTACCCTGCTCTCTCTCCGGCCGATGATTTCTCGCACTCGTTGAACTGTACTAGGCCAATGAGAGGTTCTTCCACCGCTCCTGATCTGTTTTGTCATTTCCTCAGGCTCTTCCTCCTCGTCACTGCGCGTGCAATATTAAGGACTGTGATAGCCATGCTTCTGCTCTCTCAGTCTACAGGAGTCTTCCTGCATGCCTCACCTGTCTACGGCATGCGACTCCAGATGGTGTTCGTTACTCCGCGTTGATGGCCAAACACTACGCTTCCATAACTCGCATCAAAATTGCGCCTGAACCATGCGTCGCCGCACCCGTTCATTGTTGAATTAGGTTTGTTCTTTTCGCTATTTGTTTCCATCTCCCGCTCATCACTGTGCATGTAGGTGTTTGCGTCCTAAAGCTGCCAGGCGGTGAATCACTTTCCGCATCTCTGCTTCTTTCGCCGACATCAATTGTGTTCGTTATAGTTTGAGTTCAGGTGATGCCCATCTTGCCGAAAGAATGGATGAGCGTCACCCGAGCACGGTACAAAGCCAAAGGATTTTCCTGTTGCTGCTTCCGCTGTGCATTCACGTATCTAGCCTATTCTTTGGTGTTTATGCGTTCCTTCTGCCACTATTTTTCTTCCACACATTCTTTTCCTGCTCTCCCACGTTCTTCTGAAGCTCTTCACCTGAATACAACCTACAGTCGTTATTGCGTATTTAGACTGAAAGATGCCCCAAATACATACAGCTATAATGACCATACATTGTAGTCTGCTCTTACGCTGGAACCGCCTTGTGCAGAACATCTCTCAATAACTTGCCCCTTGACAGCGTTGATCGGCGGAACTTGGTGCTCTGCAAAGAGGAGTCTAAAACCAACCCAAAAAACAGAAGGTTCTTCTTATAAATCACTGCCACCACGCAGCGGTGCACAAAATTTTGTGTGCCAACTTTGATGATCTTTTGAGCTCAGAAATTTGTGATGAAAATTCTCCGAAAAGATCGATCGAGTGCTCTGATCATTTTGGGAAAATTGATAGAAAAAGCCGGCACTGACTGGCAGAAAAATTATGCATGTTTCTTTCCGTTCCCTTCTGCTACTGGTGGAGGCCAAAACCTTTCGGAGTTGTCCCCC